TTTAAAGCAACACCATTTAAGTTACGTTTACCAACCCACTAGAAGTTATAATTAACAAAGTTTAAAAAAAAAAATGTTTTTACTGCCAACTATAAATCAGCTTTAAAGTAAATTAATACCTAGAGGGGTCACTAATGTATTCAGCTAAATTAAAAAGATATGTGTTACAACTTGGTTTATAGTCGTAAAAGCATTTATCTAACCTCAAAACATGTTAAATTATTGTAAAACATAACTAGTTCGACTATTGTTGCAATTTCATCACCAGCACCATCTTCAAACATTCTGAAATGCCAATACAAGTTGAAGCACATGTCTAGTCTTGTTTTAGGATGTTCTAGGTTATGTATAATGTAATAGATTTTTTTCACCAATTCTTCTAAGCATTAGCATCTACTCATTTTAAATCAGGTATTAGCAAAAGTGGCAGATAGAATTTATCCAAAACGCCAAAATTATTAGTTTAATGACAAAGGTGAATGAAATCACAACTGAAAAGTAACACTTTACCAAAGTATATTTTTTATCTATTGCATCAAATCAGTCTTTTGTTGGCTTACATTGACTGTGATTCAACAACTTTCAATTGTTACAATGAGGTGAAACTATTGAATGCCAAATTAAATGTTGACATGCAGCACAAGTTACATTTTGAAAATGAAAATTTTCATTTGGAAAAGTTTCGATGCTTTCTGCATACAAGCCTTAGCCCTTAGAAATAAGTATATTAATGAAATAAAACTTTAAATAACATCTAACTTAGAATCTATTTAGGGGGGAATCTTCGATAATTTATCATTTAGAGTATCATTTAATAAGTAGACTGCAGTTTGTTTCAGTGCAGTTTGTTATATTCTTTGATTACCTGCCTTATCCTTCAATATACTTACTTTTATGGCCTTGATTCCTGACTTGGTGATCTGAGTCATCTTGGCCTTAGAGATGGGTGGCTTGTACTCAGTCAATGTGTACAGCTGAAAGATGAGAGTAAAATATTACAATATGCAAACGTTTGAAATATTCTGTCATCAAACAGAGGTGGATTAATCTACTATTTAACTCATTTATTTTGATAACAATCAGTAGTTGATTAGGTTTGCTATCCCTAATCGGTTCAATCATTAACACAAAAAGTTTTCTAGTAAGACGGGGTATAGAAAACAGTGAAGTCTGCATTTACGGTGGCCGGGGTGGATCAAATACAGAACCACAGACAAATAACTGCGGCGCTTGTTTTAGCTCTGTGCTATAATACAACTAGACGCAACATCCAGGGAACGTTTTAGAAATGTTATTTTTGATATAGTATACTGAACCATGCATATATAAAACAAATACAAGGGTAAATTCACACCAAACTTTATGCCGAGGTGTGGTATATCATTTAAATCAGCTAACCCAACAAGTTATCGTGTACTGTTTCCTTAAGCTATTGCTAGTTTGTAGCCTTAAAAACCTCCATGCTCTAAATAAATATTACGAATATAAAGTAAAAATAAATACTTTAAGAACAATATTAAACACACGCCTGCACTAACTGGCACATTACATTTGAATAACCTCGGAGGTAATGATATTTTGCGGCCTTGTGTTATACTGCCCTCCTCTACCCCTTTGCTAACATTGCTAACGTTAGCTAACTAGCCTGTAAAAACGGAGCTTAACAACAGGTACACGAGCTGTTTAGGGTTGTTTCCCCCACTAGTTACACACAAACCTCGTTGTTGAAGGCTTTGACGGCCTCCATGATGTTGGGTTTCGGCTCGCAGATCTCTAGAAAATATAAATATATCTCCTCTATAACCGGTGTAAGACGTGCATGCTCGGTGTTTGGTGAGATGGAGGAGACTGGCAATATGGCGCATAACCTCAATAGGGAATATGCTGACAGAAGGGCGACTCCTAATGGCAACATGTGGGAACTACATGTTGTAGATATAAGACTTAGATTTTATTTTGTTATTTTGTACACACAAGTGTATACAGAAAGAAATTTCCTTTTTTTAGTATAGCTCTATAGTGCAGTGCCAAAAAACACTGTGGTGAAAAATAGTGACGTAATCATACAACTGTATAGTTACAGTAACAACATAAAAAAAAATTTTATTACATCAAGAACATACAGTACACTGCCCTAAAGACCATATCAGTTTTTCTTTAGCTTTTCTTACATATTTTTGTGTTACCAGCACTTCTCTCCATGTATTTCTATAGGATTTCATGTTTTAGATTAACACATCGTGCTGTTAAATTATGAAATTGAATGGAATGGATTGTTTTATACATAAAAACACATGAATTGTGTCATGGTAAGTATTTTTTTTCTATTAATAATAATATTGAAAGTAAAATAGCAATGTATGCTGCTGATACAACTTTCTTCATTAGTCGCAATCCTTATTGTTTACCGGACCTTATAAACCTTTTGGACATCTTTTCAGAGCAATCTGGGCTCAAACTTAACTATGATACAAGTAAAATATTAAGGATTGGAAGTTTAAAGAAAAAAAACATCCTTTCAAATGAAATATAAAGGGCCTGTTGTGTGGACAGATGGACCAGTTAACACACTTGGCATTGTGATCCAAGAGAATCTGGAGGAGTTCAGTAAATAATGATAATAACGACTAAGAAAGCAGGATAAAATTCTGCAATTATGGAAAGGGAAAAATTTAACCTTGTATGGAAAATATCTATTATTAATTCTTTAATTACTTCTCAATTTGTTCATTTATTTCTGCCTTTACCAGCTCCATCACATTTTTCTTTAAGTTTTATGAACAGAAAATCTTTGATTTTATCTGGGATGGCAAGCCAGAAAAGATAAAAAGAAAAGATTTGAACAACGACTATAAATATGGGGGTTTGAAACTCCTCAATCTTGAAGCTATGTGTTTGCCTTTGAAAGCATCAATTGTTCCAAAGATGTGAACAAACAATAAGTGGTATACAAGTGTTCTACTGGACAAAAAACATATATATTGTATCATAAGAAATTATGATACTAGTAATGCCTCCCCATTTTCCATATGTAGAGAGTCTGCTTGGGAAAATCTCAGTGTTCATAAAGGAAATAATCCATTCATGGAGAGCAGATAATATGGATGAATTCTAATATACTAATAGATGGACAGCCTTACTTTTGGAAAAGTATGTTCAAAAGGGGAGTAATCTTTGTTAATGACATTATCAATAAGAGTGGTAACATTATGGAGTATGAGGAATTTAGAATTACCGTATATATGGTGATGCTTGTTGAAACTTTTCCTTTAACCAACTCACTGGAGTAATTGGAAAAAATTATTAACAATGGAACTACTAAAATATATGTTGGTAAACCTTCAATAAGAAACTCTAAGGGTAAAAAGGCAAAAGGGCAAAAGGGAATTAAAATAAATAGAAAAATATATACATTTTATTTAGTTAAAAAATCACTGAAGGTTGCCCATATAACAAATATGGATAAGACTACTTTGACTGCCTGCTGCCGTGAGATAAAATACTTACATTATTTATAAAACTACTGTTGATGTGCAAAATTATTATTTTCAAATTAAAATCATATACAATTTCTATGTGACAGAGTCAGATAATTGCTGTTTCTGTTGTCAGGAGTCTGAATCCACCCTGAATTTGTATCGGTGTGTCATATTGTGTCTGTATTTAGGGTGGAAGTTGAAAAAATGTGTTTAAGGATTGGTCTGTCTATGAAGCTTGATGTGGTTTCTGTTTTACTGGGAGAGTTTATCAACTGTCATGACTTTGTTAATTTAACAATTGTACTTGGTAAAAAGTTTTATCTTTAAAGCCAAACATAGATTTTCACTTAGTATTAATGTCTTTAAAATATTTATTCAACATTATTTAACTTTAGAAAGTTTTATGGTTGAAACCGATGATGAAGCCAGAAAATATAAAAACCAATGAGAAGTTCTCAGATGTTTATTATGAAAATTTAATTTGTGGACGAATGAATGAGTGAATGAATGTGAATGAGTGTGAGGGGAGGGAGGATTTTGGGTTGGTATATTATCTCTGTAAATGTATCCTGTGTTGTCATTTATGTTGATTTAATAATAATAATAAAAAAGTAGTATTTCTTTGGTTTCTTTGCTCTGATACCTCTAAAATAAACGGGAGTAAATAATTTATTTTAGAAGTCCCATAATAAATAAAACAAAGCCAAATTTAAACACTGCCTTTAGCAGATAAGAAAAGTCCTTTAGGAATAAATCTACACCAGGACATCAAGGTTTAACCAAAACATCCATTGTTCAATTCATCATCATCATCATCATCATCATCATCTTCTTCTTCTTGTAAGGTTTTATGGCGGTTGGCAAACTAATTAAAGTGCATTACCATCACCATTTGATAAGGAGTTAAACAAGGAAACAGGAAACATGACTCACCCCCAGGAAAAAAAAAGATTAAATAAATAAAACTATTAAATCATAACTTTTCTAACTATTTAACTCAGCATAATAAATAGAAAATATTTCAATTTATCTTTAAGTTACTTTCATTCTGCCAGTTTCTGATGGTCCTGTTCGTTTTCCCATCATATTTTCAACCGTTTCCCAGTTTAAATCTCTCACTTCAGGGTACTTTTCTGTAGCTTTCAGTATTATTTAGATTTTTTTCAGTTTACTTTTGTCATCTCAGCAGTACAATTGATAACTTCTACCATGAAAAGTACAGAATTTTTTTTTTTTTTTTTTTTTTTACAATTAATGAGTCTTCTTCTGGGGCACTCCTCCAGAGGTTATGCACTCAATTCATTATCTGAAAATCTACAGATTAAGGCAAACCCTAATTTTTGAGATCAATAAAATATTGAATAACAGTTGGCCAAAAAACAAACAAACAAAAAATAAAACAAAGCACTGCAAACCCATGCTGAAAAACAATAAATCTGATAAAGAACAGCCAAGTAGAAAATCTGCACTGCTCTTTTATAGCAAAAAGAAGAACAACTACAATCAAATCATATTAAAAGGACACACATATTTATTGTTAACATATTTACATACAACCTTAACATAAAGAAAAAACAAAAATAAACAAATTCTCAAAGTGATCCAGGCAGGACCCTCTAGGTTTTCTGATAATTATGTTGAACGTTAATCCAAAAAACAAAAAAACATGTAAAGTCACATAGAGCAGCCTTTGCTGAATAAAATCCCAACACAATTTGTCAAATAAATTTAGAATTATTGTAGTAATAATTTGTAAAGCTTTACAAAAACTAAACCACACTGGAAAAAAACTGAAATCTAGATAAGTAGTTTTGTGCATTTGTTCTTGGATTGCGGAGGTTAAAGAGACATTTTGCCAATGGAACAAGACAATTAACGTTTAAAACGAGAAAACGCAATTACATTGTCTTATTTCAAGTGCATATTATCTAATTATCTTATTTTAAGAGTGAAAATACTTCATTGGCAAAACACCTCCTTTACCTACTCAAGTTAAGGGTAAATACACTTAATTTAAGAAATTTGTACTTATTTCTAGGTCATTTTTCCAGTACAGTGCCAACATAAGTGTTTTCAAATTAGATGTAACTGTTTTATTTTTTGCATATTTTAGCATAAAATTCTTAACTTATTTACCTGCTATACAAACATTTGGATGGTTTTCAACCAGCTAAAACGTGACAATATCAGAAAGTTGCTTTGTAGTGAAACAGAGCATCATTATTGGACAAAGATGCTGGTACACACTGCAAAGTTGGGCTGCGTTTTTATAAAATCTTTATCACACGAAATGAAACGAACATACTGTCAATATTTATGGTTTCGAAGGACATTCTAAGTCTTCAACCTAATACTTAAACAGTAAAGAAACAATAATTTGACTCCTATGAATCTGAAGTTAGGGTTTCAGGGTTTGTGATTTATTGTAACTACAGAGCGTATTGTTCAGTCAGAACAGTTATTAACCATAACATGACATCTAGAGAAAAGCAAACTAATCCTGGCTGTAGGGCTGCTTGTAACAGGCAAAGTTGGTGCATAGCACCAATAATTAGCAGACAACTACGTAAAAACAAGAATCTGAGTATTTGTTCACTACAGCCTAATGCACAGATAAATTATACAATAAAAACAACAAAACAGTGTTTCTGTGCAGAAGACCAACGTTTTTCAAGCTACTCAATCATTTCATATAATACAATGGGAACCACAATGAAAAAAAACACTATTCCTTCCAACTGGAGAGTGAAAGTAATACTAAAACTGAATTCACATTTTTGTGTAAATTCATCCCATCTCCACATATATATTTAGATAAAAACACTTTACAAAGTCAGACACGTTAGACCTCATATGCTCTTCCGTGGAACTGAAGTGTAAGCTGAATTAATCACAGCAGTAAGTTTGCATTCTCATGGTATACAACCATAAGGTCCAAGTCCAAATACAGTAAACCAGCTCATAATTGGACACTTTATAAACTAGTCTCTGCAACAGGAGCAGCAGTGACTGATGCTGCACCAGTTACAGCCTCTGGCGCCCCCTTCTGGTCGTCTTTGACACAGATTTCCAGCATCAGAGGTCCATTGGACTCCTTCCACTCTCTGAACTTATCCGAGGTGAGCTCTGGGTCAGATAGCACCTGCTCTATTGCCTGCAAGTCCGCTTCTTTAGACTGTGACAAAACAAACAAACAAACAATTCAAAAATTAAATACAATATTGAACTTTTTGACTTTAAAACCTCAAAAGTTGTGTGTTATGTACCTTTAACGTGCTGTTGAGTGCCCTGATATGGTGTAGCTTATCGTTAACAGTCTGGTTTTTGCAGCGTTTTACAAAAGAAGCCCTGAATTCCCTTTTTGTTGAAGGTTTTCGATCCCCTATTGGCGAGAGACTGGCCTCCTTCAGATGAATGTAGAGCTTTTCCATCTCATCTGAGCTATTCTCACGATTTCCTGCACAAAGAATGAGGTTGCAGTTTATTATACAACACACTTGAAGAACATTAGATTCTGACCTCTAAAATTAAACGGAAAGAGAGCACATAAAAGGACTATGATTTAATAAGACGTTTAAAGCATTCACCTTGATTTTGAGGTGCTAAAACATCCCTCTGCTCCTCCCCTTCCACCACGCCCATCTCTCTGTTGGACCCATTTGAATTTGAGGAATCCTGGGGAACGGAGTTTTCCAATGATCCTCCCCCTCCGCTTCTCTCTTTTTGCAAGTGGACTTGAACAGAGCAAATTACCGCCGATTCCCCGGCCGGAGAAGAGGACGCCTGGGAGACAAGGTCCATCCAGGACTGCCGCTGCTTGGCAAGCGAGGAGGCGGAGCTCTGCGAAGTCATCGTACTGACGGGGGAGGAGAGCAAATCGCTGGCTTCTGCAGGAGCAGCGGAAGCATAGGGAGGTGGAAGAGTACCCTGAAAAATAAAAAATTAAATGATGTATTAGATGCATTCTTATATTCTGAGCTATTTGACATTTGCTTATGTTACAAACACAAACCTTGATGCATTTTATTGGTATTTTTTTTTTAGTATAGATAAACAGAAAGTGCCTCACAATTTTCAAGCAAACACAACAAAACAAAAGGCCAACAGAGAGTTTGTCACCATTTTTTGTCTAATTGTTTACATTTACATCTGCAATAACGTACTTTAACTGTAATATGCAATTACCTTAAACTGAACTTTCATTTAGATAGCTTCTGTCCAAACTTTATTTATTCATTTTATAGTAAAACCCATCTGTATATATGCTATTGTACATAACTATAAAAACCCTTTTTATAGTAATATCCACATGTATATTATATTCGGTACATATTCAGCTGTAAATTTAGTTTAAAACACTAGTTACCTAAATATTATATTCATTTATTAGTAAGATTCTGTTTATAATGGTATTCATCTCTATACTTATTGAGTAGAAACCCATGTCGTGTATTTATAGAACCATTATTTATCCTGCACTTGCTGCTATTGCACTTTTGGTTAGACCTAAACTGCCTTTCATTGCCTCGTACCTGTACCTGTGCAATGACAACAAAGTTGAATCTAATCTAATCTAATCTAATACTGCAGGTAGATTTATTATAGCCAACCAACAACTTTTTTAAACAGCATCAGGGAGTCAATAAAGAAACTGGCTTAAACTTGCAGAGTTTTGATTATAATATGTTTATGGAGTCCAAAAGGCGCCGTCAAGTTGCTTCACTGAACCCAATTAATACAATTTTACACTCTGTTTCATTACAAAATAAACCTCTGCAATATATTTATTAGTAGTCTTTTCTGGGAGATGACACAACTGGTTTTGCTGCAGTTGAAAGTTGTTCCTCAAATGTATTTCTTGTGTATTTCTCTTGTAAGGAGTGAAATCACCACACAAACGTGTGAAGTAGTCTACACTTCATGTTCTAATGATTTAGGATTTTGCCCAAAATAAATAAAATGAACTAGAATACAGCCCTCTGCTCAGAACCTGCCAGAAGCCAACATGCCACTACTTTAGCGAATAATAAACATGCACAGCTTTGTGATTAAAATGCTCTCAATTTGAAAAGCAAATGTGACATTAACAGATCTGGCATTATAGCAATATGAGCGCCTCTATTTAAACACATTTTTAAGGGTTTTTACAAAAATCTGAGCAACATACTGGTGTGGCTCTCATGCATACGGCTCAGGGCGAGTTTTAAATACCAAACCTTTCATTTAGCGCCTTTTAAAGAAAAAAGGGGGGATAGTAAGAGCTTGATCTGGCAAAGCGATGTACAGTTTATTAGAAAATATATAATATATAAATATTAGAGCAGCTAATAACCCAGCCATCATCATCATCATCATCTGCCAGCAGGTCAGTAGGATCTCCGACTACCCGAGGTCCTCCAGATTTACGCAGCTATTGATGGACAAGTGTGAATCTGAATCATCACATCTGAGCTGAGTTCTTTGAAATTTATAATAATTCTCCACATTTCTAAGAATGAAAATAATGGATTTTAAACATGGATTGGATCCTTGTAATACTAACCATTGCGCATTTCCATGACCTAAGCGAAAGCAATATTTACAGTGACATTAACTGAGGTTGTTTTTATTTTTTTTTAGGCATATTTTGGTGCTGCATGAGGCAAAATATGATTTAACTTCATTGTTCAGGTTTAAATAATAAAAGATCAAATTTATGGAAGAACATTTAAACAGTCATATTTCATATTATTGCGTAAGTTTTAGCTTGTAAATTAATATTAAGTTTGGCTGCAATGAATTCTGGTGGAAATATTCCATATGAGTACTTTACAAAGGCACATGTTTGAATATATTACTTCTATGACAAAATGAGGGGAAAACAATGAAGGAAGGAGCTGGTTCTCATTTCTAATAACCTTTTTATGTCTTCTAACCTGATGTGTGCTCCCAGGTGGATCAGGCACATCCTGGGACTCCCGTAGGGTCTGTTCAGAGTATGGTGGAGGCGGGATCTCTGGGCTCTCTGCTTCTTCATGATCACTGGCTTCACTATAACACTCTAAATGTCCATGTTTGATTGAGACACACAAGAAAAAACATCAACTCACATGATGAAACACTGATTGCACAACAAGTAAAAAAAAAAAAACAAGATGTTCAATGCTCTAATTTGTCACATTTGTCACAAGCCCTAAATTTGTGATCACACCTGTCATGGAAACATGCTGAACACTGTGGCTTACCAGCTGTTGTGGCTTGCTCTGTTTGCTCATAATGGATAGAAGCCAACCCGAGTTTATTCAACCATCTGAGAAGAAAAAATACATATATGTTGAAAATGAACAGCAGCTTTTAAACAAGTTGTACTCTATTGTAACTTACAGATTCATGTCCTCATGGCTCTCAGCCGCGAAATAAAACATCATGACCTGAGGGTGGCAGGCTTTGAATGCACTGGGAGAGAAGAAGCAGACATTTAGAGAGACAGCTTTGGAATATTTTAATACAAAAGATTATTTTGTGACTTCATCATTGCTCTCAGCAAATACAGACAATTCAAAATTTTTCATTGTCGTTTCAAGTCACTCTTGATGGAGGTCATTAAGATGTTCTGGGAACACCAATGCAGAAATAATCTAAATGATCTAACCCCATAGATGTGATCAGTGGAAAAGGAAGTGACTTTTCTATGTTATAGATCCCTTTTTACACTGTTTTTACGAAATTAAACGTTCCCGTCACAGCGTGTGGGAACATTTCCTATAATAACCAGCAGCGGATATAAATAAAGTTCCATCTTTAGTGAAACAAAGTCTGATGAATCACAATCACGTCATCCTGATGAACCAAGATCTGAAATTCTGAACTTACTGTTTTTTCTTGCACTCGATGGCTACATCGATCATGAAGTTGGTGAGGTCAATGTAGCCTTCTGCTTTCTCCGCCTGCGACAGAAATTGTAATGAGGGTGAGAGCTAAGAAGCAGCAACAGATTTCAAACCACTTCCTGTCGCCAAACTGCAGCTGGCGGCATACATTAAGTATGACCAAAGCCATCACGCTACAGTGTCTTTAAAAAAAACAAGTTACCACGGACAAGATTTTGAGAGCTGATTTTTTTTTCCCTAGTCACACTTAAATGTTTAAGTGTGACTATGTTAATGTTTAATTAATCTTCATATCGGAAAAAGGAAAACCCATTAGTAAGGACGAGGATTAGGGCCACTGAAAAAAAAAAAAAAGTAGACTGATTTTTAAATATCATTTCAGTTTAATAAGGGGAAAAAGTCAGAATTCTGACTTTAATCTAAGAAGAATTCTGACCTTTTTCTCAGATTTCTGACTTTTTCCTCAGAATTCGGACTTTTTCCTCAGAATTCTGACTTTTTTTTCTCAGAATTCTGACTTTTTTCTCAGATTTCTGACTTTTTCCTCAGAATTCTGACTTTTTCCTCAGAATTCTGACTTTAATCTTAGAATTTGGATCTCAATGTAGATGGCACCATGAAGGAAGAAATGTGGGAGCATTCAGCTTCACTGAAAAAGATGTGAGTTGTTTGGGAATGCCAGTAACACATTGGTGGAAAATGATGGAATTAGGCAACTTTTTACGTGGCCGAGGGGTCCCTGATGCCATTTAATTAATGGAAGAGCAGAAGGTGATTAAAACAAGAGAGCTAGTCTCTAAAACAGACATGGCTACGGCTTGATGCCAACATGTTTTTGTTAGCTGTCAGAATTCTGAGAAAGAAGTCAGAATTCTGAGATTAAAGTCAGAATTCTGAGATTAAAGTCAGAATTCTGACTTTTTTTCTTATACGATACTGAAATAAAATTTCAAAATCAGTTAACTTTATGAATTTTTTCAGTGGCCCTAATCCTCTTCCGTAGATCAGTGACTCATCCTAAGCGGAAAAAAAATTGCATCAGTTTAAGTCATAATTTATGATCCAATTAAAAAAAAAAAAAAAAAAGTGGACAAAACATGCATTCATTAATGAGATAACAAGAGTTTAGGGGTAGTAAGAATTGTATTTAAGGCTATAGATTTATTATGAAATAAAAAACTCCGTTTGATGATGTATTTTTTTTTTTATCTTGCTGAAGCGCTCTAGACTTTTTCATTTGGTGTGAGCTTTATTATGAAAGGAATAATCCTGCTTGTGGCACTCAGATTTAAAACCACTAGAATATGCTTTATTGTAAAAAGAATATTTAGGATCAATTCTACTGTTATCACTATACCACAAGATATGTGATTAATAATAAAGGCTATGATCCTCTTTGTTAGCTTATGCACATTTTAGGTGTTATTAAGCAGGAAGATGATACACACTAGCAAGCTCGCTGCTGATAGGCTTTGGCCTAGTCAAAGGACTTGAATCCAATGAAGCCACACAGTGCCAGGACCTCAACCTGGCTGTTCATGCCCAGATATCCTCCAAAGCAGCTGAATGATTCTGCTCAGAGGAGTGGGCCAGAATCCCTCTACAGCCATGCAAAAGACCCATCATCATGTGAATGCAGTTTGATGGCTGTGATCTTCAGGCAAACACTGCATTTTGTATTCACTCAGGGGATCTAGGTGCAATATTATCTGTTTAATGATGAAAAAAAAATGAAGAAATCTGCAAGGAAGCAAGACTTGTACGTCAGTCTGTCCGTATCTGTGCAGATAGCCTGGTGGTGACGCAGTGCCAAACAGGAAACAGAGCTGCAGCATGACCGGCAGGGAGACGAAGGTAGAGGAACTCACATGAGTCTTATGACTCAGTCTATGCCGCTTTACTCAGTGTTCATTGTTTTTTTTTTTTTTTTATGCAAGTAGCAATGTTTTAAAAGACAACCTTTTAATGTTCCATTTTTTTTTAGTAAATAAAAAACAAATTTTGATAGAAAAATCCCTTCAGTGTGTGTTTTATCTGTAGAGAAAAGCGAACCTTCATAATTTTATATGATTATTTTTTGACAGGGAATTATTTATTTTTCCCAGTTACGATAAATATACTAACATCCACAAAAAAAATTTGAAACAAAGATATGAATCATGCCTCCCCAGACTGAAAAAATGGGCGAAGAACAACAATATTTCTTCAAAATAGTAACTTCATTAGGAGCAATTTAACTAAAGAAAAACTAAACAATATTCTCAAAAATCTCCAGTGTTTTGTGGCCAAAACTTAAGCTTCATACGGTTAAAAAAAACTAAATAACACTGCAATGTTACTTTTTCCAATTACATTTTCGGTTTTTAAGAAATCTGGTTCCAATCAGCGAATTTATCATAAAGTCTACCAGTTCAGACTGACAAGAACACTCCTTAGAGAGGATGCTGTTACTAAGTGATGATTAGGCAAAGTTAGTCACTTTCTTCATTGGTCAGGTGTTTAAAAATCAAGTCGGAGGAAACAAAAAGATACACGATTTGTTAAAGTTGACTCTTTGATGCTTTTCAGCTTCCCATTTCTGTCTCTTACAGAAAAGTCAACATTCTCCAAGCTAACTGCAATATAAAATGCTAAATTAGGTGATAATTTTATTATTGCAGTTAAAAAATACATCATATCTCTCTTTTTTTAGGGTTTAAGTTGGATTTTTTTCACAGTAATTGTTCTTCTATCACAATTTCAGTATAAATATAGAACATTTCCAAATATGAATTGAAGCACAAAGTCTGCAGCTGCTGTCACATCCCCCCCATAACCATGTGTGATATAATTTGGTTGAGTCAGGCATAAGGTGCTAAACAAACAGGCTAACGGAAATTAATTGCTCTTTGTTGCAAAACACTTTTAATCATATTTATGAGATGAACTAAAAAATAAAGTACTGCATTTTAGTGCATGGAGACAGAGATATTGATTTTTCAATTTTTCAAATTAAGAAAATTCTGTACAGTGCCATTTTTTTTGTAATCCCTTTCACTCTTAAACTCTTAAATAAAACCATTTAAGACATTTAAGATAAATTTTTTAATTTTTACCACATTACAACCATTAACATTAACTTTATTGTGACGTTATGTAACATACGACCACAAACTACAGCCTACAGCAAAAATAGAGATAGAATCATAAAATAAATATCTCAGATGTGTGACGTTCCTTTGTATTTAAATTTCAGACTTGTTCCATCCCATCAATAAAACTCAGTGTAACCCATTTCCCTTCCTCAAAAAAGAAAATAAAAACCATATAATATGTTGATGTTGTGGTTGCTACCTCGACAACAGGTCAGAAGAAGCCGAAAAAATGCTCAACACATCAAAACATTGTAGCAGTTCTTTAAATTTCAAACAAACCTACATCAAACTGAATTCTCTCTTTACTTACCAATTGGTTGGTGTACCAGTATAGAGCCGTTCTCTTGAGAACAAACCAGTACTTCTTCCATTTTATCCCCAGGAAGCCCTTGGTCTCCTTCTTCCTGTAAAGCCAGCCCTGATGGTCCGGCTGACCGAGCTCTTTGACGGACACTCGTCTTCTGCTCATGGTACCATTGCCTGATTACAAAAGATGCAAAGAGCTCAGTCCACTTCCTTGTTTAACGCAAACAAACCAGTAACCAAAGCATCTGTCTGATGCTTTGGTTACTGGTTTTAGCATCCTAACTGACACACACACAAAAAACATTTCCATCCGAGCCAATGTAGGTCACTTAAAATGATCAATACTCTAAAAATAACGCAACCATTTGCAACGCTCTCAGCTCTAAACTGCTGTGATCCCACTGACCCTTACCTGATGTGATCATTAAAGGAGCAGCATTAAAAAGCATAAAAGTTGCATTCTCAGAAATGAAGAGAGAGAACACAGAGCACAGAGCAGAAAAGAAATGATATGAAAGTAACTGTGGGTTGCCTAAAACCTCTCTGTACACACTAATTGCCCTTTTTCACATCACACGCCCACCGGTGGTCCAAAGTACAGCTGTGGGGCAAAACTCGCTGTAGATGCGAAGCTAAAAGAGCAAGCTTACCTCCCCGGTTCTTCTTCTTTGACTTGTGCCTCAGGGAGACCTTTCAGAGAGGACAACAGGGAGATGAGAGGAGGAAGACAAGAAGAGAAAACTGTCACACGCAACAACAGAGAAGAAAATCGTCGCTTAACATCCGGAGGAAGACAAGAAGAGAAAACTGTCACACGCAACAACAGAGAAGAAAATCGTCGCTTAACATCCTGTTTCACACAAGCATAGACTTTTTTTTGCTGCGCTTTAATGTTCAGCTTCTGCCTCGTCTATCTACTCTAGAGTCTCTCTGCCTTCATTAGAATTTAAAATAGGAAATAAAGAAGGTAAAAAGCAGCTTTTCATCCTGATGTGAAGGCTAACAAGCCCTAATAATTCATATCTAGAGTTCTGTCAACATTAAATAAGAGAAGCAGAAGTATAGCCTCTGTAAATGTCACAAAAAAAAAGAACACGTAGAATACTCACAGGGTTATAGTCATCAGCAGCCATGGAAGGTGCAACAGACAAAGGGAAGGCAGCCTGTCAAAAGTAACCAGCAGAAACATGTATTGAGAGGTGTGTAGGTTGACAACATCTCTCCCCACAGATAATACAGCAGAAATTTGTTTTTTTCTTCTTTTGTTTCTTCAAAAGGAAGTGGCGTCACAGGCAGAGAAGTACTGACAATGTTTTTTTCATACTTAGGCAAAAGAAAAACCAAAAAAAAAGACAACAGATACATGCAGAAAATGGTATGTTTCACCATAAGTGTAAAGGGAAGTTGAGTCAGAAAAGGCTGAAAGCTTTAAAGTTGAGTTCTCAGACAGAACCGACTCTCAGCTTGTGTTAGAATGTCTACCATCAGCAGTTTCATTCACACTATGACACATAAAAGAAGTAACTAAGGAGGAAACTGTGCTGGTCTGACAGAACTCCTCTTCATTTTTTCTAAGTGCAAACATTTCTTTTTTTCAGGGATGTTCAGCTTTGCTGCTCAACATCCTAAAAAAATTAAAAAAAACAACAAAAAAACAAGGCAGCATTGAGAAATCCAGTCTGCAATTATTGGCCAACTTCCTCTGCGTTCTCGGGTTCCTCATTTGTTTAGTTCAAAAGCTGCCAGAGTGAGCAAACAGTTTGATGATTTTAAAAGCTGAAAAGTCCTCCATGATGCCTCACTCTGCTGCTGTGTTTTCTGAGAATTTAGAAAATCTCAACAAACCACATCTCTCTGAATCTGTCATAGCCAGACTACACAGTTAATTAGAATATTATATAAACATGCCATTTATAGCAGTCATTTATATAGTCATACGTTTAGAATGTTTATCACAGTTTAGTTTGAGGATTATTGTTTAAAGCAGTTGTAATCCAAAAAGTCATGTCAGATATTAGAGAACTAAACAGGTTTGATAAAAAAAAAAGGTTATATCTACACATTTCTGGACATATAGACATACAGATATTATGATCTAAATGACAATAAGAAGAATGCTGACTGTCGGTTATAGCAGGAAGTCATTGAAATGTCAAGGATATTAGTGAAAAGTTGAGTGGAAGGAAAAAATATGAAAAAAACAAAAACAAAACGCTGCACAAGCAAATATGAAGCCATTTAAAAATGATACCAATACATAATGTTAGATAAAGAATATGTCTAAAGCAAACATATAAGGTTTTATTAAAAAGGAATTTCTATTCAATAGGAGTTTAGGTCTGGTAAGTTTTCTGTGATCAAGTATGAAACCATGTTTCTGGTACCTTTTGCGGTGTGGGGAGGTTCTGGTAAAATATTTCATCTCTATCTTCATCAAAGCTTCTCAGGTCAGAAAACGATAGTGACCTCAAAATTCCCCTGGAAATTGGCTTTTTTTAAATTATTATTATTATTAGGATTAGGGCCACTGAAAAAATAAAAAAGTTAACTGATTTTTAAATTTTATTTCAGTATAATATGAGAAAAAAAGTCAGAATGTCGATTTTAAAGACTAAACTAGCTCTCTTGTTTTATTAACCTTCTGCTCTTCCATTCATTAAATAGTATCACCCGAGACCCCTCGGCCACGTAAAAATTAACCTAATTCCATAATTTTCCATCAATGTGTTACTGGCCCTCTCAAATAACTCACATCTTTGTCAGTGAAGCTGAGTGCTCCCACATCTCTTCCTTCATGGACCCCCATCTACATTAAGATCCAAAATTCTGAGATAAAAGTCAGAATTCTGAGATTAAAGTCAGAATTCTGAGATTAAAGTCA